AAGTTGGTTCCCCAAAATGACGATTTTGAAAGTTGGTTCCCCAAAATAGGAATCAGGTGAAAGTTGGTTCCCCAAAATAAAAATCAAGTGAAAGTTGGTTCCCCAAAATGACGATTTTGAAAGTTGGTTCCCCAAAATAAAAATCAAGTGAAAGTTGGTTCCCCAAAATGACGATTTTAAAAGTTGGTTCCCCAAAATAGGAATCAGGTGAAAGTTGGTTCCATTTTGATGTAATTTTCCCTTTTATATTCTATTACAAAACATTTTTAACGAATCTGTTGAAGATACTCTAAAATAAATTTAGACTCAGTATTTACCAACTTAACACAAATTTATATATGAATACGAATAAATAAACTCTGATAATCTATCAGTATAATTATATTTTATCGAATAATTGAATAATTATAATTAATTAATTAAATACAAAGAAAAAAAATATTACAAATCTCGAGAGAAGGTTGAGGAGATGGTTTTTTTTTCTTGATGAAAATTGCTTAAAAAACAATCAAACATCACAATAATTAATTAATTAATTAATTAATATAATTTATTCCTCGGGATCGTTTGTTTCATTTAATAACACATCGTTTACGTGCACCTTCAACGCGTCACACTCGCAATTGCCTTCCAGAATCCATAATATTTATGATATATGAAATACTCAGAAAATCGGTTTTAATTTCAATAATTTACGGTTAAAGTTTTGTGTTTTATTGTCGTTAATCATCGAAATCTAAATTTAGGTTTTGATACGTTATTAGTCGTCTAATGTTTTCGGTGAAATAAATAGGGTCGTTGCAACTTTTTTTTGGAGGTTCTGTTACATTCAAAACCAGTATTTGACGAGTAATGATTAAAAATATATGAAAGTTTATATAATATATTGGGCAAATTGCATGAAAAAATAATGTACTTTAATTTGATTTCTATTTTTAAAAACATACTCTCAAAATTTTCATTTTGATAGCTAAGATGCAAGTTTCCGAAATATTACAAATGGTATGAGAAAAATTCAGTTGCAAACTTATTTTTCATTACGGAATAAAGAATAAAGGAGAGCGCAACACATGTTCCATTCATCATGAATTAACGAACGTGAATTTTTTACAACATTCATGATAAAAGAAACACCATTACATACATGCATGATAAATGATGTTACCATTCATCATTTCATGATGTAAGTTTATGCATGTCTTGGACATGTGAACTGTTCTCTTTTACCCCCCGGTTCACAATAATATAAGTTAAATTTGCAAACGAACCGAATATTTTAATCGTATAAGATTATGTTTATTTGTAAAAAATAAAAAAAAAGGGGAATTAATAAAATGAAAGAGTAGCGAGTGAGAGAGACGGATGGAGGATGCGCGTGGGCAAAGGGGTGGAAATTGCATGGATCGTAGTCCAAATTAATTAATAAATTATAGGATTCATGGCTTCAAAATTACGTTGGCTTTAAGCTACACCGCCGGCGTCGTCACCGGCCGTCAACTTTCCTCTTCTTTCTTCATTCATTTTTACTATAAAACCTTTCTTCCCACCAAAATCAAACGGATTAATCATCCATCCATCCATCTTAATATATATATATATATATATATGTTAAGATCATATATATATATATATATATAGAGAGAGAGAGAGAGAGATTGAATATATATATAGAGAGAGAGATATATAATTGATGGCGTCATCAAGCGGTGGTGTTCCGCCGGGATTCAGGTTTCATCCGACGGACGAAGAACTGCTGCATTACTACTTGAAGAAGAAGATATCGTTTCAGAAATTCGATATGGATGTTATTCGAGAGGTCGACTTGAACAAGGTTGAACCATGGGATCTTCAAGGTATATACACTACCTCTTAATTTCCTACCATTCTATATATACATAATTATATATATATATATGTATATATAGAAATTAAGGATGATGTTATAAGAAGAAAAGTTTTAATATCATATATGATATACATATAAATTTAGTATATATATATATATATATATATATATATAGATATAGATATAGATAGATAGATATAGGGCTTAATCAAATGAGAACTAATTAGTTTGTGGTAACCGTGAGGTCCAATATGAATAAATCATTTTATGATATTAATTGTATTATCTTAATTAATAGGTAAAGACCTAGCGTTTTAGTAAAATGATTAATTATAATTTAAATATTTTTCTTATTTAATAGTTATCAAATCCAGTTTCCTTAATTATCAAGAATTCAATTTCCTTAATTATCTTAACAAAATTGTATCATAGTCATGTATCACATTGTAGTTGTGTGTGGCTTAAGACTCGGATCACATCTGTTATCAACACATGTTTAAAACGTTATCACAGTGGTATCACAATATGTATCACAATTGGTTTTGTGTCTTACTGTTATAAATTTTTGGGTATCACATTATATTTGTTTTGTGTTTTACTATTAAAAATTATTGGTCACAGAGAGAGAGAGAGAGAGAGAGAGGAGAGAGATTTTAAAAAGACTCATTTACCCCTATATATTATAAGTAAATTTAATTTATTTGAAAAATAATAAATAATTACCAAAATTAATATGTTTAATAATAACCACTGATTATTAATAATGTATGGTTGAAATTAGATCTCACAGTTATCACAAACAATTGAGTTCTCCCTTAATTGAACCCCTAGATTTATATATATATATCTATATATATATATATAGATGTATATTCTGTCATTCTTTTTAGTAATTTAACTTTTGATTTTTAAAATCCATCAGAATTGAAGAAAATGATTTAATTCATAATATATGATCATGTTCCATAATATCTAATTTTAATTTCAAATAGTTAAAGAATTAAGTTGTAATTGTATTTAAAATAATAATTTATAATATTAATTAATGCAAAGTTACAATTTTAAAATATAAAGTTAGATGTATATTGTAAAGGTTTATCAAGGGAAAAAAAAATTCACCACCTTCACATACCTTATCAGATAAGATTCTCGGCTATCAAAACAGATTATTATAAAATATCGACTTAATGAATAAGAGTCTTACCCTTTGTTTACGGCCAAGATTCTCGATCTTTGTCATGCTCATTAATGGCCTGTAAGGTAATTAATTAAAGAACACTGATAAGTGCTTAACCGATAAGCGTTTGGTAAACGATCCTTAAAATTATACTTGCACCATGATTCCATGAACAAGTTGCATATATAACATGTATCTGATTTGTAAATGAAATGAGATTGATATATGGGTATTACAGAAAGATGTAACATCGGATCGACACCGCAAAACGAGTGGTACTTCTTCAGCCACAAGGACAGAAAGTACCCAACGGGTTCAAGAACGAACAGAGCGACGAATGCCGGATTTTGGAAGGCAACCGGGAGAGACAAATGCATCCGTAACACCTTTGAGAAGATCGGTATGAGGAAAACCCTTGTTTTCTATCGGGGACGAGCTCCCCATGGCCAAAAGACCGACTGGATCATGCACGAGTATCGACTAGAAGATAACGATGAGCAACATGACCCCCTCAATCCGACCCTCACATCTCATGTAAGCTCATTTCTCCTTAATATACGTTGGAACCTCCGAGTGAGTAATATATTGGGGTTTAATGCATATATTCTTACATGGTATCAGAGTAAGTTATATTATTATAGGCACTCGACACTTTGGGACAATCTGTGCACATCTAGCCCTCTCTTGACACTTTATGTACTACAACAAATTCGGGTTAATAGATTGCTTTATAATTAAGACTTAGTTTTGAAGGACAAAAATAAAGCTTCAAATCTAAAAGTGTTGTAATAAGTTTATAGGACGTTTTTGGGTGTCGTAACAAGTTCTTTAAGACATTTTTATAAATGAACGCCGTATTTGCTATTTTATATGACATTATTTGAAAAAATATCTTATAAAAACAAGCATGATATAAAAAAATGTATTTTTATGACACTTCTCAAAAGTGTTATATAAAATAACTAATATAACGCTTTGTAAAAAATGTCTTAAAAACTTGTTAGGACTCCCAAGGACGTCTTATAAAATTATTACAACACGAACGTTTTATTGTTTAGTCCTATAAACTTAAGTCTTATAAAGTGGTATACTGGGACACCAATAAATTTTTGATATCCCATGGACCCGTTTGTTGTAGTGATGGCAATATGTGTCCGTTTAGCCTAGGGTCGTTCTAACTTTTTTGAAGACCCTGTTACATCTAAATCTATTGATTAGATTCTAAAAAGGGATAACCAAGATATATATATATATATATATATATATATATATATATATATATATATGTGTGTGTGTGAGAGAGAAAGTTATTATGCAACCCTTTATATTTATACAACCAATACAACTCTTTAAAACTATTGTTGTTGATGTTTTGTTGCAGGAAGATGGGTGGGTGATTTGCAGGGTGTTCAAGAAGAAGAATCTTTTCAAGGTTGGAGGAACCGAACGGTCAAGAGGGAGCATGGGGTCCGATCAACTCGACCATGGCTCGAACCAACCCGGTTCTTTTTCGCACCCCAATCATCAGTATCTACCATACCATCAAGATCCACCGCACCAACTACAAACCTTCGTCGATATAGGGCTCAACCATGGTCACCTTCCTCATCATCATCATCAATATCCCCATCTCCAAGCACAAAACTTCATCCCCACCCACAAACCTCTCGGCTACGATTTCTCCAATCTACCATCTGAAGATTCACCGGTCATGGTCAAACAACTAATGACCAACCATGGTGAATGCGACAGTGGAAGCTGCGGTAACCAACAACTTAATCCAGTTGCGTACCAAGCTTGTGAGCCTGGTTTGGAGGTGGGAACCTGCGAACCGGCTCAAAGCTTGGCAAATGCAACCGGAAGTGAGTGGGGAATGATGGACAGACTCATGACTTCTTCGCACCTCGGTGCAGCGCATGACCAAGATGGCGATTCGTCGAAAGGGGTACAAAGGTATGAGAATAATGCAAACGCATCGTCGTCTTCATCAATGCAACAAATGAATCAAATACCGTTGCGTGGAGAGATGGACTTTTGGCGTTACGGAAAGTAGCCGAATAATTCATCGGCTTTAACCTAACAGGTAAGGAGGTGAACATTCTTACAGAAAATACCCGAACATACATATACTTGTATTAATTATTTTCTTCAAAAAAATGAAACCATGGATTTGAGCTTCAATTGAAGATGGCTCTTAACCATATGATATGATATGATACTACCAATACTTTGATTATTGCCATTAATTATGCATTCCATTCTATATAATTAATTTCACTCATAAATAATTAATAATTATTCATATTCCATTATTTATAAGTAATTTCTATTCAGAAAATATATTAAGCAATCATTTTTCATTAATATTTTGGAGTTGTTCCATTTTTCCCTATTCAGCTATATATATATAGACTTGGGATCATGTGAAACTAACCTGTTTTCGTGAGACTCGTGAGACCATTATTTTACATTTGAAACTTCACAGTAAAATGCTGTGAATGTAACCTTCGCAGTGTTTTTGCTGTGAAGTTTCAAGTGTAAAAATGTGGTCTCACGGGTCTCACGAAAACAGACTGGTCTCACGTGAAACCAACCCTATATATATATATATATATATATATATAACGGTCAAATGAAAACCACTCAATTTGTAAAAAACCGTAAAAACCTCATTCAACCAATCATAATTTTTCATTTTGTTCATTTTTTTGTAATTATGAAAGGTTGATTAATCATTTTTATTGTGGAGGGTGTTAATCATAGATATTATCATCTTCATTATTTTAATTTTAGAGAAATACATGAAACAGTTTCATTAAGTATTATATGAAACAATTTCACAACCATATATGAAACAACTTCATCAAAAAAAGTATTATATGAAACAATTTCACAAGACTAAACAATTTCATGAAAAAATTTCATAAGATTAAACAATGAAATAGACAGATGAAGGTGGTTTGCACGGTTTACACAAATGAGGGCGGTTTTCATATGATCACTCCTCTCTCTCTCTCTCTATATATATATGTTTGGGTTCACGTGAGACCAAGAGTTTTTCGTAAGATCCGTAAGACCAATTTATGTTCATTGATCAACTTTTATAAACTAATGATCTAATGGTCGAAAGTTGTATGGTGGCAATTTTGTGATTATTGAGAAGTCTCGTGGCAATTTTGTGATTATGAATGTTCAGATTGTAGATCTAATCCAAGCTCATTAAGCCAAAATCTAGGGGCGTACCTACTAAGGACCAAGTTTGTAACATGAATTGGAAGAGAAAAAAAAATTAGATTCGGTAAAAATGCATCTGTTTAATTTTGAAGGGTATCCTAAAATATTTTACAACCAAGTTTGTAACATGAATTTAGAATAGACGGGATGGTTTTAGCTGACCAGATTAAAAGCACGTTTGACATTGCACATGGTCTTGTGTTTTGCTCAAAAGGTCGAAGGTCAATTCAATTATTTCCCCAAAATCGACACAATTGATTTCCTTCGGGTCATACCGCATCAACTTTTCCCTCATTTCAAAACCACAACTTTACAAACCTTTAGTTCACCTTAAATGTGCAACCGCTGCCAAAATCAACCACCACTTTGATCGAGACAGAAGGTAAAATACTAAACTTTGTATTACGAACAATATATTTAACATATAAAACAAATAACAATTTCTTATAATTAATACATACAATTTAATACATAAAACGACTTAATCTATAAGACGACTTAATAGAAAACAAACAAACCACCCCTACTTATCATTCGTATCTGGGCACTAATTCTAAACGTATACATGTTCAGTCCAAAGCCCTAATAACGTATGAGTCTAACGATCTCCGAAACCATCACAGACAACCACAATCGTAATCAATATGACCGCTTGGGTTGCGAAAGAGAAGAAACAATAACACGATACATAAAAGCTTCTTTAGATGCGAAGAAGCTCCCAATAGCATGCCAGTGAGGTAAGTCTGCAACGAGAGTCGAATCACCCTCATTTTTCGTTGTTTTACATATAAATTAAACGCTTCTTCAACTCCCTGGACCGTAACTTTTCTCCTGCTTTCTACATGGATTGAACCCATTTGAGCCAAGTTTCTAGCCAGCACGATCGCATCCTCTAAACCGGCTGAACCACCTTGCCCAAGAAACGGACCCATGACGTGCATAGCGTCCCCGGCAATCGTTACGGTTCCTTTACAGAATGTCCCCATTAACAAGTCCCATGGCGCACGATATCTTAAGTGCGAAAAAGATAATGTCTTCACGTCTGTGATTTCGATCATTTCTTGAATTTCTTTGGGGTAATCGCTTAGCAAATCTAGGGTTGATCGCCTTATTTCCTCAGGATCTTCCCAATTTCTTTCATCTGTTACCGAACAGAAAGTAGAAAGTGTCAGAATCGTCAATCAATTAGAATTAAACTTTATTACTTTTATATATGTTAAAACTTCCATTATCGGTAATAAGAGTTATTCATGATTAAATCAGCCCGTGAGAAAAATCGTTTGGACATCTATTCTTGGAAAAATAGACGAGCCCAAAATAGATCGTCAAATTTAGTGGGTGAGCCCAAACGATGAAAATAAATACCGTTAGTCCGGTCTGTTTATAATTTTATAATCGATTAGATTTTATATAATTATACGTTATGCCTTTTTTATTAAAAAAAATATAGAAGTCGAGACTTGGCTACCTTTGAACCGTTTGTCAAGTGTGTGTGTATATATATATAAATATCTATATCTATATATGTATATTATATGTGGTACTACATATAGTACATATTGAATCCTAATCTAGGAACATATTAAGTGGTTATATATGTGTATTGTTAAGGCATTTTTATGTCATATTAGAAGTTGAAAAGAAGATTATGAAATTTTAATGATTTTATGTTTAGCTTTATGACATTATATAAGGCCCATCAGCCCATGAACAAACCCGACTAGTTATGGGCTTGAGTTTACTATATTAAATCTTTAGAACCGACTCAAGCCTACAAAATGACCATCTCTAATCGGGGGCATCTGTTTATGGGACAACCGTGTCTGGCTGGAGACCGATGGAGGGATGTGTTATTGAGCGGAAATGAGCACAATAGCTCATTTCCTCAACGAAATTCACTTTTTAGCTACTTTTGGTATCAAATTCTCATTTTTTCCAAATTTTATGCAAATGTCATACGTAAAGCCTATATTCAGATTAAAAAGAAAGAAAAAGAATACTTTATGCAAATTCTTTAGGCAAATGGGGATAATTATACAAATCATGCAAATTTGTAAAACTTTTTTTCCTTTTTCTTTAGGAGGTGTTTGAGATTGCTTATTTTAAATAACTTACGTTTTTTTACAAACACACTTATTAACTTATTATAAGTAAGAAGTATTTAACTTCTTCAAAAACTCCTTATTACCGGTTTGGACCGATATAAGTTGTAATCCAAACACTCAAAAATACTTATTACCGGTGTCGCATTGGAATAAATCAATAAGTTGTTTTTATAAGTAATCCCAAACACCCCCTTAATCTGAAAATAGAAGTGATGTAATTACTTAAGACATTTACATAAACTCTAATTAAAATGAAAATTTGGTTGAGAAAATGGCTAAAAAATAATTTTTTTTGTTCCAATATTGGCTATTCCTAGACCCTTTTACTTTAAGATAGGGGGAAACATCCGTTCTCTTTTTGGAAAGAGATCGAAATAGCTATGTCACAAAATGAGATGCTATATAAACGAAGAACAGTGAGATGAAACTGACCTCCAGGAACGTAGGGGTGTGCACAGAACCAGTACACCAAGTGCTCGTCGATAGGAAGTCTTCCAACAAGCTTGTTGTCTTTCCGGATACGCAGAAACTCATGGGCGAACGAATGACCATCCCGGTAATTTGATAAACCTCTAACCCCACAAATCGAGAACATCTTCGTTGGTTTCAGGTTAAGGAAGTCGGCAACGATCGACTTCCCTCCATCGCAACCAATTACAACCTACCAACAACCACCATCGTTATTCAACGAAATCATGCAGCAACAAGTGCGCACAAATGGCGTACAAGAATCAGTCTAAAGACGCCATTAAAACCGATCAATTGCAGATCTCGTACTCGAATAAAGTAATACCTTAGCAATAATGGAGCTTCCATCAATGAACCGAAGAACTGGTTTGGTAGTAATTTGGTCCAATTTTATCGATTCAAGTTGGCATCCGAACTTGACGGTGGCCGGAGGAAGTGCATCATAAAGAGTGTCTATAAGATCCTTTCTTCTCAAACAACGAGTTTCGCCTTTCCTACGTCAATAAACAAACCATAAAACTTTCAATCCCCAATGTTTTTGAGTATTTCGAAAAATAAATAAAAATTGCTTCGATCTACTTTGAACATACATAGGAATTTCTTCAACCTTCCCGTCGGCAAGCGATACGATTCGTTCCCTACACATGATCCAGATGTATCAAAGCACGAATGATCGATCAATTCAATAAGCAACATAACATTGCACACGATTTTATCTATTATCAAATGGAGACAGCATACCGATTAACGAAAAGTTGAAGTTGAGATCCAAAAATTGTAAATCATGGAAAACGATTTGAGTTTTGGATGTACGTGATGTGATGATAGATTTAAACTAACAGAGTATATACATAGAGAGAGTATATAACATACCTTTGAATCGCAATAGCGGTGTGGCGGAGGGTTTCGGCGACACCAAGCTGATCCAGAGCTCGCCAACCATTTTGTCGGATTCCAATTGCAGATCCGGTGGTGTTCCTCAGAGATTCGGATCTCTCCATTACTACGCTTTTGATACCTTTTTTGTGTAGTGCGAGGGCCGTGGCTAACCCACAAATTCCTGCTCCAATTATCACCACTTCATCGTCAACATCCATCACCGCTTCTTTCTTCTCGTCTTCCTATGGCGGTATGTTTCTCTACTAGATCAGTGGTCCACCATAGATAAGAACACTGCTGATATTTCTAGATACTAGCCGCCGGAGCTCGGATCCTATAATTGATTTTCGGGTGCTCACACTATTTAATTATAAAAACGGGAATTCGATTAAAATAGTAAATCAACTCCGATCAAATTCAAATTTTAAATACTTTTTCTATCGAAATCCCATATCAGTGGGCCGTCCCTGTGATTATGACCGTAAACGAACCGAAACAGACGCTTGTTCATGTTCGTTCGTTTAACTTAACCGAACAAACGAATAAACACAAACCATAAAACGAACGGAATTTTTTGTGTTCGTGTTCGTTCGTTTGAAAATCAGGTGTGTTTGTGTTCGTTTATGTTCGTTCATTAACATGTTAAACGAACGTAAATGAACAGGCTAAACGAACATAACCGAACAGGTCTAAATGAACATAAATAAATGAACACTACTATTTGTCATTCAATTAACTATTATCAAACAATCACTATTCATTAATCATCGTCATTTGAACAAAAAACAAATCATTATCATCATTTGACAAAAGTGAAAAGGTAAAAATTTCAAATAAGATAAAATGATAATAAAATTTAAATCTAAATAAATTCTAAAATGTTAAAACTTAAATAAATATTATTTGAATTCAAACTAAATAAATAAAATATTATATATTAAATTCGATATATAAACGAACATAAACGAACGAACATAAATAAACGAACGTAAACGAAAATAAATAAACGAGTGAGACTCTTGTTCATGTTCATTCGTTTAGCTAAACAAACAAAAGAATTTGTTCATGTTCGTTCATTTATTAAATAAACGAACTTCCCGCCGAACTGTTCGTTGAACGTTCGGTTCGTTTACAGCCTTACCCGTGATGGTGCACACGATGCCCAAAAACGTCCTTAAAAACTTGTTAAAATGCTAAAAATATACTATAAACTTATTGCAATGTTTTTAAATAAGACATACAACTGCTTAGTTTTATAAACTTAAATCATATAAAGTAGTCTATTAATAAATTTCGACATTTATAAACCCAATTTTATTGCAGTGATATATCATCAAACATACATACAAGCTACACATCTTATTCCGGTTCGTGTGTTGGCAATAATCCTATAAATAAACACGCTTAGTCAAAACAATCTCCGAACCGATCGATGATCAAAGACGACCACAATCGTAATCCATATGATCGCTCGGGTTGCGAAAAAGAAGAAACAATAGCACGATATATATAAACTTCCTTAGACGCGAAGAAGTTCCCGTTAGCATGCCGGTGAGGTAAGTCTGCAACGACAATCGAACCACCCTCATCTTCCGTTGTTTCACATACAAATGAAACGCTCCCTCAACTCCCTGAACCGTTACCTTTCTCCCATTTTCAATCTGGATCGAACCCCTTTGAGCCAAGTTTCTAGCCAGCACGACCGCATCCTCTAAACCGGCTGAACCACCTTGCCCGAGAAACGGACCCATGACGTGCATAGCGTCTCCAGCAACCGTCACCGGTCCTTTACAGAACGTCCCCATTAACAAGTCCCATGGTGTGCGATACCTTATGTGTGAAAACCATAATGACTTTGCGTCTGTGATTTCGATCATTTCTTGAATTTCTCGTGGATAGTCGCTTAGCAAATCGAGGGATGATCGTCTTATTACTTCAAGATCTTCCCAAATTCTTTCATCTGTCATCGTATTTCAAAATTGTTTGAAAGGCTTATTAGAATGTCCAAAATTAAGTGTCATATCATCTTATTGTAACACACTATTATTTTGTCATATAAACTTAAAGTCTAATTGAACAGTTTACTAAGATACTTAGGGGATGTTTACCAAACGCTTACTGGGTAAGTGTTTACTGTCAAAAGACATTACCCTTACATACCTTATTGTGTAACATTCTCGACCATCAACATGAATTATTGGTAGTGTCTTAAACCCAGTAAACGCTTACCGGGAAAGATTCTTTTTCCTCACTTACCCGATAAGACTTACGATCCTTGCTATGCCTCCTATTGTGTAAGATTTTTGGTCATTGTCATGCTTGATTGGTAAGCTCTTACCCGATAAGTATTTAGTAAACGACTCCTAACGATTTTTTATAGTGACAAAGGACCTCTAGGAACGTAGGGATGTGCACAAGTCCAGTACACACTGTGATCGTCAATCGGAATTATTCCCAAAAACTTGTTGTCTTTTGTGATACGCACAAAGTCATGGTCAAAAGAATGACCATTCGGGTAGTTCGATAAACCTCTGACTGCACAAAATGAGAATTTCTTCGTAGGCTTCACGTTGAGGAAGTCGGCAACGATTGACTTGCCTCCGTCACAACCAATTAGAACCTACATAGTAGCGATAACTATCGTTAATATATTTTTTACATCAATTTTCACACAATTTCACTGTAATCCAACACCGATTCTTACCCTATTTTGATTTTATTTCTTTTGTTCCTTATGGTGGTGAATAGTATAACACCGAATTTGGTGTTTTACCATTCCTTTACACAAATCGGGTACCATTAGATTTGTCATTTACCTGGAGGTCTCAGATTTGAATCTAAGAGAAATAAAAATCCCCTTGTGGCTACGAATGTTCAACTGGGCTACCCGTGAAGTCGGTGGTCGCTTTGGAATTAGTCGGTTCGGATAGCGGGTTGGATATTCAGGTTAATAAAAAAAATTGTCATGGGGGTGAGGATGAGATTAAAAGCAATCAAGGGTCCAAATGACTTGTTACACTTCTTACCTTTAACTCCTATTTTCACACGATACTTCGTCTATATTATAAACTACTAGAAAGATACTCGTACAATGTAACGAGATACATCTTAGTTTTAATGTTACTTTTTTTTGTCTCAGTCGATGTTACAATACGGTTTTTTTGTGGTTTTGAAAAAACGATAATTTTTTTATTTTTGAACAAAATATAAACATGAGAGATATATCATAAAAAATGAATTTTTTACATTATTACCAAATTAACTATTTAAATTTTTTCTTTTTTTTTTGTGTATTTTTTAATTCATTTTTTTATTTTTTCGTTTAATAATATTTTTTTTTATAAAAACAATAATCAGAGATTTTCTTAAAACTCAATGATTATTTTAATTATATTTTAAATTTTGTATATTTAAAATGAATGTTTATCATACATTTCATTATGTTTATCTGCAATTAGTTACACAAATTTAATAATGGAGCTTTAATAAGTTGTACTTACACAAAATTACTTGTAATCTTGAATTTTAAGTAATATGCATCTATAAACAGTACTTCATGTATAAAAAAATGGTTTTTAAGAGTTTTTGTCAAATATTTTATAATATAGTATTATTAACTAAATCAATATATGATATATAATAGATTTTATTTTTATGTTCTAAAAATGCCTAAAAAGTTAGAGATATAAAACACTAACAATATTTAAAATAAAACATACCATTGATCATATATGTAAACTCAAAACACTTAGTAGTAAACATCTAATAAATATGATGATAGTATTGAAATTTATATAAGTTAGGAATAAAAAATATTACTTGAAATATTTTATCTGGTATTAAGTTTATATAACGGGAACTACAAGGGTGTCGTTTGATTGGTTTGAGCTTGACTCCAAAGATCAAAAGTGACTGGAGGTCACAGATTCAAATCCAAGGAGGAATAAAAATCCCCTTGTGGCCAGGGAGGTTCAAATGTGGTGACTCTGAGCTACCCGCATAGCGTATTGGATATCCAGGTTAATAAAAAAAAAGTTTATATAATGGGTTGGAGATGGATTAATTACCGCATACACTAAATTTTATGTCAGTTTGAAGTAAGAAATCGTGCAAACGATTATAGATAATCTAATGAAATAACGCATCATGGCACACATAATGTCCCCGAATTGCAATTTTTGTGCACAATCAAGTTAATAATACCTTAGCGAGAATGGCGCTCCCATCGCTAAACCGAAGAACTGGTTTACTAGTATTTGGGTCCAATTTTATCGATTCAAGTTGGCACCCGAACTTGACGGTGGTCGAAGGAAGTTCATCATAAAGAGTATCTATAAGATCCTTTCTTCTCAAGCAACGAAATTCGCCTTTCCTATCGTATGTGAATGAGCAAACAATAAAACTTTCATTTTATACTGTTTTTCTTAAGTTTTTTTAAAAAAAGATTCGTAAATAATTGTTTTGATTTATGGTAACTTACATCAAGATTTCATGGACCTTTCCGTCATCGAGTGATACGGTTCGATCCCTACAAACGACCCAAACGTATCATCGCATGTTGATCGAATTTAACAAAACTACAGAGCGTTGCACACAATTTTATCGATATTTATATATCATAAAATGTTTGATTGTTTATGATGGAATTATTGAATATATAATATCTGTTATCAAACCATGATACTGAATTGTTTTAAATAAACTTGAAACTAGTAAGTAGGGTTGGGTTCACGTGAGACCAGTCTGTTTTCATGAGACCCGTGAGACCACTTTTTTACACTTGAAACTTCACAGCATAACGTTGTGAAGGTAAAAATAAACCGAACCTTCACAGCAAAAACACTGTGAAGGTTATCTTCACAACGTTTTGTTGTAAAGTTTTAAGTGTAAAAAAAATGATCTCACGAAAACAGACTAGTCTCACGTGATCCCAGTGCTATTAAGTATTATATTATAACAATTATTTAATTTATAATATTTATTTCAAATAATCTATGAATTTTTAATATTTTTTATTCAATATTTCATAAAAAGAGGTCAAAATAGTAATTTTTATTATTTTAACGGTTTATTCGTTATGTAAAAGAAACAACGATTTATCTTAATTCATTTAAACAAATTAATCGTTAGATATATTTTAACAAGGGCGAGGGGTTTAATAATTTGAAAACCATGTATGTTGTGATACTTATGACGCTACTAAAAATGAGACTTTGGTTGACGAAAATATCTGTCGGTAATCTGTCAAAGTTGGATCCGTTGCTGATTATTTGAAATAAATATTACTGACGAAAACACTACAACGGAATTAATTTTATAGGGAGCCTAAAATGTAGAAGTGTCCTAAAAAAACTTTACAGAAGTTAATTTATAGGACTAAAGCAAAAAACGTCATATCTAAAAGCGTTGCAATTGATTTATAGGTCGTTTTTTGGCGTTTTAACAAGTCATTTTAAGATATTTTTAAAATAAAGTGTTGTATTAACTATTTTATGAGATACTATTTGGAAAAAATGTCATATGAATACAAATGTCCTGTAAAAAGATGGGTATATAAGACATTTCTCAAAAGTGTCCTATAAAATAGCTAATATAACATTTTATTTTAGAACGTTCTAAAAACTTGTTAAAACGTCTAAAATCGTGCTATAAACCTATTGCAATGTTTTTAGATAGAGTCATTTATTGTTTGGTCTTATAAAGTTAAGTTCTATAAAATATTCTATTAAGACGTTTAAACAATCTAGGCGTCCTATAAATCCAGTTCTGTTGTAGTGAAAAAGATATATGCATTATATAAATTATAAAACAACCGTCCGGGATCATTCAATACAACAGTATGAATACAATACCAACGCAACCCCTTTTTAAAAGGAAAAAGAGGGGACACCTTTATTGACGGATCTCGTCTGGTCACTGACAGAAACCATTACTGGCGGATCACCGACAGATCACCAACAATTTTAAAAAATATTGAAAATATTTTTACCGTCGGTTTTTTTTTTAAAATAATAATAATTCATTTATCGCTTTTCAATTTATATAATTCACATGTGATCTTTTTTTGGGAAACCGTGAGTTTTCGAGCCAGCTTATGTGCACCGACTAATCCCCCGAACGACCACAGATAGCTTGGAGTCATCGCAGGTGAATCCCTATGACCACAAAGACTTTGACAACGCCTGGATTCGAACCTGGGATGGAAGAGATATTCCGCTACATCTTCTTATGCTTTACCAGTACGCCAAAACCCGAGTGATTACATGTGATCTTTATGTAAACGTATAGATTTCTTCATATGTAGAATTTTATGCAGTTAAAGATGCCACTTAACATGCCATTTCGAAAAAGGTAACATCTGAAAATGGTCATAAAACCAATGTCTGAACCAAAAGGAGTGTTGGACAGCTCCACATCCAGCTAAATACAGAATAGGATTCCTTAAAAGGTCTATTTAGTGATGGGTTTTGAGGGTTTTTGAGATTGTTTATAAAAACAATTTATTGACTTATTTTGATGTGGTATCGGTAATAAACATTTTTGAGTGTTTTGATAAACAACTTATACTACTGCCAAATAGGTAATAATGAGTTTTTGAAGAAGTTAAATCATTCTAACTTATAATAAGTTGATAAGAACTTTTATAGAAAAACATAAGTTATTTCAAATAAACAATCTCAAAACGTAAATTTGAAAAAAGCATTTTAGGCTCTAAATAAATACAGAGTTCATCGAAGGTACCTGTGAATAAGGATAGCAGTGCGGCGGAGGGTTTCAGCGACGCCAAGCTGATCCAGAGCTCGCCACCCATTTTGGCGGATTCCGATTGCTGCTCCGGTGGTGTTTCTCAAAGTTTCCGATCTCTCCATTACTACGTTGTTTATACCTTTTCTGTGAAGAGCGAGGGCCGTCGCTAGTCCACAAATTCCTGCCCCAATTATCACCACTTCATCGTCAATGTCCATCACCGCTTCTTCCTTCTCGTCTTCAATTCCCACGCGATATCCCCAAATATGCTATATACATATACGTGTGTGTGTATATATACACACACACAGTGTGTGTATATATACACACAGTGTCTGTGTATATATACACACACACACAGTGTCTGTGTGTTTTTTGCTAAATCAGTGGTTCATTAACGATAAGATCATTTTGTAGATAGGGTTGGTTTCAAATGAAGTTATTATGAGAAACATAAGAAGAGATTTTCATCATTGGATCAATTTTAATTGAATGTCAACACAAATGAGGTGCATTGAGATTTACAAAAAAGAAGTTTCACTTTTCACACAGATTTACAAGTGGCACCTCCGCAAATGGGTGAAAATTGAAAAAAGATTTAGGAGTCGTTTAGTAAACACTTATCTTGGAGCACTTACTGATTCAATTACTTTATTAGGTGAAAACAACAAAAACTGAGAATTTTACCCGGTAAGAGGGAAAACAAGGATCAAGAGTCTTACCTGGTAAGTGAAGGTGATGACTCTTACCCGGTAAAGGTTTACCAGGTGATAAACGCTTATTATTTATTTATTTTGATGGATGACAATGTTACCTTACAAGGTAAATTAGGTGGTGACTCTTGTCCGTAAGCGTTTGGTAAATAACCCCTTACTTTCCACCCAAATCCGCAAGTGACGCCTGCACAAGGATGAAAAGTGATTTTTTTCCCGTCTTTTAGATCCTCCACAAGTCACGGATGAGCCATTTGCGATGATAGTGATACTTTCACACGGGCCATTTAAATATATAACCTTAATTAAAAATTCGAATAAATTCATTATCTTCTGACTTATTAAATAAAACATGACTTTATACTTATTAAAATGTTATAAAATTTAATTAAAAATCTCATTTAAGATTATATACTTAAACATACACTTCTTAAACATAATCGTTTCATATTTGTGGCAAAAGTTGTAAATTATTGGATATCATAGATAATGAAAACTATATATGCATCCAAACTTGGGATCACGTGAGACCAGCTTGATTCGTGAAACCCGTGAGACCACATTTTTATACTTGAATCTTTATAGCAAATGTTCAACTTTTTTTTTTTACTTTCACAGCGTCTTGCTGTGAAGTTTCAAGTGTAAAAAAATGTTTCACGAAAACAGACTGGTCTCACGTGAACCCAACCCTATGAAACAATGATTTTTAATCTTAATCGAGATAACGATATCACAAGATGTATTAGATTGCTTAAACTATGAACCTAAAAATATGATTTTCCTGCTTTGAACAAAAATGGAATCAAAAGGGACCATCCATGAAATCTTTATTATATATCTATACTATCTTATTAAACAAATTTAGCAAAAATCTTAATGTCTTAAAATTCTAAATGATCAAGATACCCTTATCTATGTTACCCTTAGGTCACTTTTTCACCCCCTCATCTCCTCACTTACACTTACTCTCTCACATACACTAACCCATTTTTTTTTAAATTATAATTATAAATTTACACTTTATACCCTTATAATTAGTTAATTAAATTATTTTATGTCCTTTACTTTTAAATGTTTCATTTTAAACATTTATCAAATTAACATGCATAATCGTATATCAATTAAAACATGTTTAAAAAATACATTTTTATTTTAACAAGTTACACCATTATAATCGTCTCGTTAATACCTTCGAAATGAGTCCAATATTGAATAGTTTTTTACTTAATTATATTATTATATATTATATATACTGTGAAAAAATATTTTAAATATTTACAATTTATACTTTTATAGTTATTTATTTATATATATACTATATATTTTGGGGTTAGGCTGTCCAAATTCAACCTTAATCTGAGTTTCTAGACAAGAAAAAGGGTAAGCAGTTGAAATTTTATTCTAAAACCCAACTTTTTTTGTCTTTTCATGGCTTATGATCTGTCAAATTTGTAGTTTTCTTTATTGGTTTTGAGTTTTTATCTTAAAATTCAAGTTTCTTGGTTCTTTGGTATTGGTGTAAATCGAACACATTTGTGGAGTCGTTTAAATATGTTGGATTTTAAATATATTGGATTTTAAACTGTCATACAAATTTTTTCATCGATAGTCTGTAATTAGAACCATAACTCTTATTTATTCAAATTGTATTAATATGTAAAGACCAAGTGTAACATATATCATCGTCAAATCTTATCTTATAAAACCAGTGGAACTTCAAAATCGTTAAAATTCATGGCTCCCGCCGCATTGCGCGGGCACACAACTAATATAAATATAATATCTTGAATTTTTGTTGTGTTTTATCTATTCATGTTGATGGAGAGATAAAAAATTGATAATAAATATTGGGTATATAAAAAGACGTTGTAGCAACTAATAAGGTTAACTCCAGTTAGCCCATCCTCTAAAGTAGAGATGATCATTTGTAGGCTCGTGTCAGGTCTGGACTGAGTTTAACCTATTTTTTCCGTACCACAGACCTAATATGGTAAATCAAACCCGTTTTTATAGGCTTGAAAACTTATCCATAGCCGTCCTATAGACGGGTCGGGCTTGCCTATGGGTTAACGGGCATAAAAATCTTGTTATATTTTTATGAAAACAAAACTTGTATAAAATCACAAGTTATGTAAAATAATTCAAAATACATAACAATTTTTCCAACTTAAATACATGACAATATACATACTTTAGAAAGAAATTGTTTCACTAAATATGAAATATTAATGAAAAAAATGATTAAATGAGATAATAAGAAATCGATTTGAGGTAATTATATTTTTCAATTTAAGATTTTTAAAGAATGTTATTATCATAAGTCATAATCAAGTAGAAATTGATACGTATTAATAATTTTCAATTTGATTTGTAAAGTTTAATTATTATAAAAATATAATGAGCCTGACGGGCTTGTCCAATTTTTTTTTTCATTGTCCATGTCCGCCCAGCAGTTTTAACAAGTCAGTCCAGGTCCGCCTATTTATTCGAGAATGATAATCCAAGCCTGCTTTTCTAAAGGGTCGAACACGACGAGTTTAGTTCGAGTTTTTACGGGTAAAGAGATGCTAGACTTTGAGGCTCATCCCATAGGTCATTAGTTCGAGTTTTTACTCGTACCAGAGATTTTCCTGACTATTATCTTCAGAGTCTCATAGGATTAGTCGAGGTGTAAGCTGGTCCGGTCACCCATAGTTAACAAAAAAAAGATGGTCTTAGTCGCTAATAAACATGAATTCATATGTTTAAAAGCCGATGCCTTTCAAGAAAAACAATGGTGTATGTATATATGCCAAGATTATCTTATTTACATATCAAACATCCAGGAGTTAAATAACTACGATGATAAATCAAACTAAACTGAACAAACCCAGTAAATCCCAACTACCTTCTCCACTTCTCGACCTCTCTATGAGTTGCTTTGATCAGCTTCTTGGTGTTCACGACAACCTCATCGATGAGACCACCAATCTCATCCCTGGTATCAACAAGTCGAGGTTTTGAAAGATCAGAGATATAGTAAACAGTTGTTCGAAACCAAGAGTTTAAAATTGTTCCGAAAATATAAACACCAATCGCGAACTAAATTTTAAACAAACACAGTAATGTGCAATGAAGGCATCTTGTGATATAAATCCAATAAGGTACTTGGATTGCAATATCAAATAGAAACTGATAAAGGGTCATTGGCCCAACAGTATCCAGGTTACCGGTAGATCCTAACCTCCTTGGAGGTTAAGGGTTCAAGACTCATTAAAGGTGAGTAGTGGGTGAGTGGGTATAAGCAAGACTCATATTAGGGGGTGTTTGGTTCAGACACAGGAATGAGAATGAGAATGAATTTTCCTTCCCCCATTTTAACCTAGAATGAAAATTTAGATTTTGGGGGAATGAACCCGTTATATAAAACCAAACAATTTCTTTTATTTTCATTATCATTAATTACTGCTTAATACCTCTAACCAAACACGCATAGAACTTTCTTTTTGAAGTATAAAATATTTATATACAGCAAATACTCACACAGACTCCTTATCATTCGTGAGGTTCAAACCCCTTGACCTCCTGGGAGGCTGGGATCTCCGGCTAAGCCAATGACCCTTTGATGGATCAAACACTTTAAACAAGAGTGTGCATACACACAACTTACTGAATAGGAAAAGTGGCGGGTCCTCTGAAAGCCCTCGCGAGATTAGAGTGTTGCCGATTCTCATCATAAGCAATTCCTCTCCCTGCACCATAGCCAAATCCTACGCCAACTCCACATCCAGCACCAAATCCAAAACCTATCTGTAGACCGGGGATTCCAGGACCCAATCCAGCACCTGAAGTAATATTTATCTTAGATGATTCCGAAACAGATTCACAGAAAGATTATACTCTTTTCATCCTATTTATGCTCGTTATACCACTTTTTTCTTTTGCATATACTAAAAGAGACAGACTATGTTTTAGTATGACTGAAATTCCTTAAGGGGGCATTGGCATTTGGTTTGACGGAAAGTTGTTGAGGGATTTAGATTTCGTGAAAGGATTTGGAGTTGGAATCTTTGGTGTATTTAGGTAGTAGGATTTGGAATCGATTTGAATTACCTTCTTTATAGATAATTTAAAAATACAAATTATAAAAATAATTAAATTACCTTCTATCAATTGATTATTACAAAACAAATGTTTTCAACATATTTGAAAACATTACAAACAAATCCTATGAAATCCCGTGAAACACCAACTACCCCATGGGACTTCTAAATCCAATGTTGTGGGATTTCAGCTCCGGACTTTCCTTTAAGCCAAACATGGGATTGGAATGGAATCCAATTCCAAATCCCGCATACAAAACGGATCCTAAGTTCACATACTGCAATTACAACCACCGGTTCCAAGCGATATCATGTTCTCAAAGAGGATGAACTTAAACAGAAAAACAACTACCCGCGAAGAGTAATACATCCTAGTAGAAGATAATAACCTCCCATCAGCAGCAACGATTACTACAACAAATATTTGAATCAGATTCTATAGGACGAAAAATATGGCAGTTCTAAAGTTGTGAAAGATTGTCTTATAAATGTGGAATTTGAAAGTGGGAAAAATTTCGGGTGTCGTGAGAAAGTACAATAAAGTGCCTGGACAAGAATCTTAGATCACGTAAAGCTTTCTTTGCTTAAACAATATTTTGGACCCTAATCAGCCTGGGTTACACGAAATGTGTTCGAGGATACTATCAAAATTCACACCATCAGTTTAGACTGAAATCGAGAGCTTATAAACATAGAGATGTTGTAACGTCTAATACATTGAAGTCGAGAATGAATGCACCTATAAGAGGCATCAATTACTGGAATCAATTGAGCAATTCTTGGGTGGTTATCTGCACTGAAAATCCAGATGGTGAGATACATTCTGAATCCAAGTCTGACCTTCTAAAGTCTGTCTTCAGAAGGGAAGTCCTTCTGAACTAGTTAAGAAGATGATTTGCCTTCTGAACTTAGTTAAGACGGTGATTTGCCTTCTCAACTATCTGTACTAAGAAATTTCAGAAAGCTTATTGCTTTCAGAACTAGACTAGACTCAAACATAAGCCTTCTGAATTCAGACTTGGGGGCTCTTGTATGGATAAAGTTGTTTGTGTGGATTTTGATCTATCTGTCTAGATTGGGAAGATTTTTGTTTGGAAGGGTTTTTTCATAAATGGAAGGAACGTGCTTCTTTTAACTGTGAAGGGTAGGTTTGGAAAAAACTTGACTTTCTGCATAAAGCCACCTGGAAGCTTCCTGAATAAGCCACTTTCTATGTCATTAAGCCAGTATCAAACAGTCATGTATAGCTGACCGAATAAGTTGCGAGTCTCATTAAGCTTATCAAGCTGCTAACAAACAAGCCCTTAGTCATTTCAGTATTGCTTTCGAACCAGACTCACACGTAAGCCTTTTGAATCCAGAGTTAAGCATTTTCATTAAGCATGTAGCTTTCTCAACATTTCTTCTGAGTAACACTTAGTGCAAACTGTTTTATTTCACGACATTGCCCCTGGGACCCCGCAAAAGAGGGGGGGGGGGGGGTGCAGCCCCTTGACCCCCCATATGGCGACATCCAGCAACTTCGGGTTCTAGCTACCTTATACAAGTGTGCACTCCGCACCTCCTAATCTGTATTATAGCTTAAACATCAACCGCTTCATCCTCTTGTGAATCCAATTAACTAAAATGGCCTTTGATTCACTAAAATCACCAACAAACAGTGTGTTTAACATCGATCAGCTACACGTTTTCTTGAGGATGGAGCATTTAACCAGGGTAAAATTAGTAAATTACTGTAAACCTATCCTAACCAGTTCCCACCAAAACTTAACAAATTTTCCCTTTCTACGTATCCACTAAAAATCAATTACAATTCAGCTGTTTCTTGAGTTGAATTCGTAGCATAGGGTTTACACTTTACAGAATCAATTTAATTTCTACCTACAACAGAATTAAAATACAGTTAGTTCCATAAATCAGAAATCATACAAGAAGAACATTACCTCCGATCATTCCAACGCCGAAACCTATACCACAACCGGCGCCAACGCCAAAAGCAGGGCCGAGCTTACCAAGTTTGTCTGAATAGAGCGCCGGTAGCTTCCAGAATAAACCTTTTTCGTCGTCGTTCCTGTTGCTCATTATCCTGATCGTGAGATTTGGGGTGTATGATTCGATTTGCAGAGCTCCTTCTCGATAGATACTGATGAATTTGATAATGCAACAGAGGTTTCGTATGGATGTTTCGTAATCGAATGATAGCGTACGAATGCAAAACACAAAGAAGATAACCACAATCCGACCCGACCGACCCGACACGTATCGACAGATTATCATTTATCACACCATCTTTAATTCAACCATTAAAAAGATACTAAAAATAGCAACCATTGAACACTAAAAAGATAACTTTAACGGTTTAATTGCACGCTAAAATAGTATATCAATATCAATACTATCTTATAAATCAATTTATCAAAAGGTTTAAAAATAATTTTTAATTTTAATATATAAAATACTATAATCTATGCACAAAGTCTTAAAAACAATTCATAATACATTAAGTACTATTATTTTATCATTCAGTCTTTTCATGTTCCCAAAATACTTTTGACATCTTTCGTTCATGTATTCACTCTCTCATACCTCTGTGTCTTCTCCTAACCCCCTAATGTGAGATTCAAACTCATATTCACCATGAGTTATTAAAAGTTCTCCATTCAATTGCTTTAAAACTCTTGGTCTCGCTCTCTTGATTATTTGCTCTTGGTGTAAATTAAATACATTTGTGGTCTCGTTTAAATATGTTGAATTTTAAATATATTGAATTTTAAATTGTCGTACAAATTTTTCATCGAGACTGTAATTAGAATCATAACTCTTATTTTTTCAAATTGTATTAATATGTAAAGAGCAAGTGTAACTTATATCATCGTTAAATCTTCTCTAATAAAACCAGTGAAACTTCAAAATCGTTAAAATTCACGGCTCCTGCCGCCTTGCGCGGATACACAACTAGTGTATTTTTTATATTATACTATTTTATTAAAATATAATAATTATACTATATAATAAATTTTTATAATCAATAAATAATTATCATTTTAAATTTTAAAAATGGTTTATTTAATGAAATATCGTTAAAATTATAACGATAATTTTTAGTTAATAAATGTTATGTTACAAAGCAAATTAAACTATTCCCTCTCTTCCAAAATAAGTGTCCGTAATCGAAATGTCATGCAGTTTTAGACATGCATAATTATTACATTTTTTGTTAACCAAATGACATCTTTACCCTTATTTCATTTCTCTCTTCACAACTCTTAAATATTTGTGTATTAAATAAGAGTAAGGGATCGTTTACCAAACACTTACACAGTAAGTATTTATCGGTAAAATTTAACACTATTATTTACGTATCGGGTAAGATTTTAGTTCACCAAAACGACATCTTATGCAACAATTTACCCGGTAAGCGCTTACCGTGGTAAGAGGCGTTGCCGTCACTTACCGGGTAAGATTCATGGTTCTTGTCTGGCTCTTACCGGGTAAGATTTTTGATCCTTACTATATTCATCCGGTGAGGTAACATGACTTGATAAGCACTTACTCAGGCAAGTGTTTGGTTAACGGCCTCTAAATTTGAGAATTTGGTTATTTACTTTTGAAAACGGACACTTATTTTGGAACAAACCTAAATAGAAATATGTCACTTATTTTGGGATGGAGGGAATACAATAGTTCAGTTCTACAAGATAACATACACTCGAAAGTAAAATAAATTACACTAGTTTTTCAAGTTAATATATTTGTCTCACAGATTTTCAATCAATTCATTTCGAATTTCAATACGAGCAACCTTATTATACTCTTTTCGAACGAGTTCAAGATCACGTCGTAAGATCACAAAACCCATCTTCAACCATTAGTCCAACGCCACAGGACCCAATCACCGGTCATCCCAACCGCCTGTGTGACCCATTGCGTCTCTTCTCTCCTTCCTACGCTCCGATGAACAATCACCACACCTTTGCTAACCATTTCTCCCGTCGCACCTCTGCTTTGATCCATCACCCCACCTCAATTTCCGATGCCACAACCCTATTCTGCTTCTCCACCATCGATCTGCCATGTGTTACCACCGTTACAACTTCACTACCACCACCACATTTCGTCGTTGTCCTCCACTATCCCCCCTTCTCCCTTCGTCCCCCATCTCCTCGACACAAACCCATCACCACCGTAACCCTTAATATTAATGATTATGAATTTGTCGCTTTAATTATTGGATATCACATGACTGCTTTCAAAATACGAATTCAAACACTGAAGGACTGTTTACCAAACACTTATTTGATAAGCATTTACCGGTAAAATTTAACACTATCATTTACTTTGCGGGTAAAATTTTAGTTCACCAGAACGGTATAATATGCAACAATTTGCCCGGTAAGTACTTACTGTGGTAAGAGTTGTTGCCCTCACGTATCGGGTAAAACTCTTGGTCTTTGTTTTGCTTTTACCGAATAAGTTTTTTGGTACTTACCATATTCATCCGATTAGCTAATATGGCTTGATGTTCAATTATCCAAGTAAATCATTACTTATTTATGTGATTTAAATCCCCAAAAGACCCGTTGACTAAGAAAGTGGACTCTACACTTGCACAAAACGACAAAAATGATGCACAAAACGACAAAAATGATGCTAAAAGTACAAAAAAGCCATAAGAAGTAATAATATAAGGCCGCCGGGCGGCAATATATCGAAATAGAAGACAACTTATTAGAGGCCAAAATGGAGTGTCAATTTTGGCACATTTTTAATTAAACGAACGAATAAATAAAACGAGTCGTTAACGTCTCATTTGTATAACTTCGCATATCAAAACGAAAGAGATTATTGTCGGGTCAACTCACGAGAGATGAATTAAAGGTGTAATATCTCTATTCGTTTTGTATTTTCTGTTCTTTCAAGCGGATTTTATAGCCGGAAATCTCGTATATGACGTGAACCATGAGATTTCAATCACTCATCCACACTTCTGATCAACGGCTATCAAACTGTGTGGCATTTTTACAACATAATGGTTGTTATTTTATAGTATAAAGTATTATTTCACTGTGTTTGACGTGAATATCAAGTTTTCGTTTCACGGTATTTTTCTTATCTTTTAGAATACGTTATGGAATATACGTGTTCTTTTAAACAAACGATATGGCATTTCACACTGTGAACCAATAAATGTGATTGACATCTCATGTGAGTTAAGGTTGTTTCATAATGTTTCAAGCAAATGTATGCCATTTCACACTATCTGATGAATGTGGTGTTATAACATGTGTTTACAATTGCAAAGCACCAAAATATGAGGCTTTTAAATTAATTTAGGATCACGTGAGACCAAACTGTTTTTGTGAGACACACGTAAAACAATTTCTTTTACACTTGAAACTTCACAGCAAAACGTTGTGAAGGTAACCTTGACAATGTTTTTTTTGTGAAGGTCCGGCTTCTTTTTACCTTCACAGAGTTTTGCAGTGAAGTTTTAAGTGTAAAAAACTTGTCTCATGAAAATAGTCTGGTCTTACGTGAACCCAACCCTTTTAAATTTGTAACCCTAACTTTTCTAGGTGAAACCATGATCATTAAAACTTCAGAGGTTTATATCAAAAAGTTATGAAGTAAAACTTTATGTCCATAATTTTTTTGGACAGACATCACAAAATAAATATCATAAGAACATAGTTTTATACCATAATTTTTCATATAAACCTCTGAAATTTTAATGTTCGTGGTTTCATCCAGGATAACTATGTTTGCACGTTTAAAATCCTAAAAGAAAACCACAAGGGTGGTATCTGATTGGTTTGAGCTTGGCTCCAAAGGTCAAAATTACCAGGAGGTCTCAGGTTCAAATCCAAGAAGGAATAAAAATCCCTCTGTGGCCACAGAGGTTCAAATACGGTGACTCCGGACTATTTGCAAAGCAGGTGGTCGTCCTGGGATTAGTCAGCTCGCATAGCGGGTTAGATATCCAGGTTAATAAAAAAAATCCTAAAAGAATTTACACTTAGCCTCATCATTTTAGTGGTTTATCAGGCGACTGCCTTTTTAATGATAAGTCTTGCCCCGCTCTATTATTTCCAACGTATTAAAGTAGCTACCGACCATCGATTTATGTGATTCTTCTATATCCGGAATCCAAAATCCCACGGGGGAGTTTCGTAAGCATCACCTTAAGCACCTGCAACGTGATAAAATGAAAATATTTTGTGTTACAAACATTGCAATCGCATTTGCTTTCATAGTGTGAAACAATAAAAGAAAAAAAAATCGCCCCACAGGGAAGTTATGTTTCACGATGTTATTTTCATAGTCTGAAACAAAATAACAGTTTCATACAATTTCGTACTGAACAAGAAAAAACGCATGAATCATATACAAACCTTCTTCGTCATCTTGGATCTTGCATTCTTCGATCTCGTTGCATTATGTTACATCAAGATCAACTTCATCCTAACTTACGAATTGGATGACAATCGACAAATTGAATCCATTGGTTTTATCTCGTTGCTCGATGGGCTCCATGAAGCACGATATACTACAACAAAATTGGGTTTATAGGACGTAATAAATTTTAAGCGTACTAATATACCGTTTTATAAGACTTAATTCATATGACAAAAAAAATTGTTTTATTTAAAGGTTTCTTATAAAAATAAGTGTCCTATAAAAATACGAGTTTATATGACATGATCTTAAAAGTACCCTATAAATTGCTAATGAGACCCTTTATATTAAAAGTGTCCTTAAAACACTTGATGGGATGCTCAAGAACGTGCTATAAATTTATTTCAATGCTTTTAGATAGGACACTTTATTTTTTGGTTATATAAATTCAGTTCTCTAAAACAGTCTATTGAAAATCTTAGATTTTGATTGCGTCCTGTAAATTTAATTTCGTTATAGTAATATGATGAAACTTTAATCTGCTTTTGAAAAACGTGTAGCAGAAAACATTAGCTAAAGCGGATTAAAGATTTTATTTACTTCTTCAAACATCATTAAAAACTCTTAACGGAATTTGCCATGAAATAAAAAATTTGGAAAATCGGTAAAAATTAGCGGGAGAAGCCACACAAAACCAGATCTGTCACGAGAAATTTATGTCGTTATTATAGTTTTTTATGTAATATTATTTTATCATCGTATAATTTCATCCATGTGAATTAGAATGAAACATGTTAAAATGAAAAATACTTTTATTGCATCACATTTTTGGGAATATATATTTTGATAAAATTATATTTCTATAAATTATTGACTTTAAATGTATATATTAAAAATATTTATCTTAAAATAACGTTGTTCCTTGTATGACTTAGGTGTCGTTTACCAAACGCTTACTCAGATAAACGCTTACCAAGTCACTTTACTTTACCGGATGAACATGGAAATGACTAAAAATCTTACCCGGTAAAAGCGAAGGCAAGAATCGAGATTTTTACATGGTAAGTGAGGACAGAGACTCTTACCATGGTTAGCGCTTACCGGGATAAATTGTTGCATACGCTGCGTTTTAGTGAATAAAATCTTACCCGGTAAGTAAACAATAATATTGAATTTTACCGGTAAGTACTTACCGGGTAAGTGTTTAAGTAAATATTTCTTTTAAACATGACATGAGACACAAGTCTTGAATTACAGGAGTTCATAACAGCTTTTGCATTAAAACACTGATATTTATTATTAACAGTCAACTTTCAAGATTGAAACAAAGTTATAAATCAAATCAATATTATAATATTTTATTAATAAAAAAACAAGTAAATTTAAACTTGAATTTTGTTAACAACATATAAATACGTGAATTACTTGTCAAAGTCTGCTTAATGATATGCCAAAATCACGCTTGTTCCATTAACATCAATCTTAATCACAATAAGCCCACCAAAAAGCCCTTTTCCATTTTTATTTCTTTTGCCACGTGGACAATAACGTTGTCCCACGTAAATATATACTGATTTATCTATGAGTCAAAATCATGTTCAATTTCGATACTTTCATGAGAAATTTCCATTTTCTTGAAACATATTATTCCGCGTTGTTTAATGGTTTGGTACAAAATGATTAAATAATTAGAATGATTAAAAAACTCTCATGATATAGTGCAAAATGAAATATAATTGTTTGACAATTGCTTACGATAAAATTAGAGTGTTGAATGGTTAAGGGAAGCCCATGATACAAAATCATTCAGAAGATCTTGTAACCATCAAGAAACATATTTTTTTTATCAAACAAGATTTACCTCTTAACGATTCAGATGATGTCTCTTAATGAAACTATTAAGAGTTAAACAAACATCCTCTATGTTGTTCTGTACGAGGGTTGTAATTTTTACATCATCTTTAACAATGTATTGGAAGGTTACGCTATATTACGTGAATGTTGTAGTAATCACACAAAATAAAGGTATGTTCACAGTTGTCACGATAGACATTCATACAATATAATAATACTCCATCTGTTGCAAATTAAGGGGCCGTTTACCTAAATACTTACCCGGTAAGCACTTACCGGTAAAGTTCAACACTATCACTTACTTACCAGGTAAGATTTTATTCACTAAAACGAATCGTATGCAACAATTTATTCCGGTAAGCGCTAACTATGGTAAGAGTCCTCGTCATCACTTACCGGGCAAGACTCTCGATTCTTGCCTTTGCTCTTATCAGGTAAGATTATTAGCTCTTGCCATATTCATCCGGTAAATTAAAATGACTTGGTAAGCGCTTACCCGAGTAAGAGTTTGGTAAACGGCACCTAAGTGTCCACGATTTTATTTTAATTTGTTTTAAAATAAGTGTCCACTTTCAAAAGTAAATTTTCACTTTCTTATTCTACCCTTAATTATGAGATACATAAACATAAAGTCTCTCTTTATTGTCAAGGGTAAAAAAGTCATTTTAATTATTTAAAAAGTATAACAATTTTAAATTGAATTTGTCGTGTATAATAAGATTGAACATTATAAGACGATAAACGATGTTTGACGACTCTTGAGGTTCACGTAAAATGGATAATCGATTGTTGATGGTTTTTTAAAATGAGATAGAAACGGCACCGTTTGGATCTTTGCGGTTGGCCGGCATCTCACCTCACTTCCAACATAGTAATCTTCAAAAAGAATTGTATACCATTTTTAAGTGATTAATTTTAATCGATATCAGTGTTCTAAAAAACTCGTTATGATATTTGTTGTGATACGTTGTGGCTTAATTGATGTACCTGACATCATATTAAGTTTATGACACAGTTACTCAATCAAGATTACGTAACGCGATATTTTTTTTTCAATTTTTTAATGTTTTAGAGGCTGTTTGATAGTTGCTGAATGATTTGGTGCAGAATAATTGATAGACTCTCATGATATAGTGCACAATAAAATATAATTGTTCGGTAATTGTTTACAATGAAATTAGGATGTTGAATGGTTAAGGGAGACCTATGATATAAAATCATTCAGAGAGTTTTGGAACCATTAAGAGACTGACTTTTTTTTGCCAAACAAGATTCACTTCTTAGCGATTCAAAAGTTGTTTCTTAATGGAACTATTAAGAGGTAAACAAACAACCCATACTTTTTAGTTTTTAGCGTATAAACTAATTTAAATTGTTTAATATCATTTTAAATAATAGTAAAAAACATATATTTATATACATATATAATTACAATATAAGACTTGGGATCATGTGAAACAAGACTGTTTTCATTAGACACGATTTTTACATTTGAAACTTCACAGCAAAACATAGTGAAAATAATCTTTACAGTATTTTTGCTGTGAATGTTCGACTTTTTTTTTTTACCTTCACAAGATTTTATTTTGAAGTTTCTAGTATAAAAATCGTGTCTCATGAAACAGTTTTGACTCACGTGAACCCAATCCTATCATATGATATACAAATTTATCGACATATATAACATGACATAAATAATAAAAGGTAAAATTTGGTGTATTTTCAGTACCTAAAAATAAAACGATTCACATAAGTTAATATGGTTAAAAAGATAATCAAATATTTAAAACCTCGTAGATCATTAGAAACAACATTGATTATTATTTTAATACATAGAATATTTTTACAAATAATATTTAATAGATTAATTATTTAAAAAAAATTATAAATTATGTCCCAACTTTTTTTAAAAAGAATATAATATTTATATATAACAAATGTAACAAATAAACTCACATACCCTTCTTATCTTTGACAATGTTTGAAACTCTGATCTCCTAAAAGGCCAAAGACGACAATACCGCTAGATCAAAGATTCTTTGGTAATTATATCACAACTTGTATTAAGAAGAGCAAAAAAAAAAAAAGAATAATGAAGTTGTAATATAAATATAATGCCATATATAGTTATATAAATATTTTTTGTAAACTTAGGAAAATACATGTCAAATTAAAGTCACCAATAAAATTAAGACACGCTCAGATTTTATTTTATTTTAAATTTATTTAATTCATGTTCACTTTTTCTCTCATCTTGGTATTGATATGATTGATGGACATAAATGAGACGTGAAAATTTGTATCAGATAATTTTTATCCCTAAAAATACAGTTTTGTAACGCACCCAAAAAGGTACATTGTATATACTTATCCTTGGAAAATTGGTCAAAATAATCATTTCTCCTTCATGGATTGGTTTCCTAGCAATTCTTCTCCTTAATTTACCCAAATATAACTACTTCCACAACTACTAAAAAGACAAAATTCATATCCAACCCAGGTTTGCAATTGCAACACCCAAGTCCACAATTAGGGATTTGTCTATTTAGACAAAATCAGATAGATAAATGACTATGATGCCGTTTATCAAACGCTTATCTGGGTAAGCGTTTACCAAGTCACTTTACTTTACCGGATGAATATGACAATGACTAAGAATCTTACCCGGTAAGAGCGAAGACAAGAATCGAGAGTCTTATCCGGTAAGTGAGAACGAGTACTCTTACCATGGTTAACGCTTACCGGGATAAATTGTTGCATAAGATGCGTTTTAGTGAATAAAATCTTATCCGATAAGTAAGCGATAGTGTTGAATTTTACCGGTAAGTGTTTACCGGGTAAGTGTTTAGATAAACCTCCCCTAATACAACAATTTATAAAAAAAATCGCTATTTTAACCAATTTCCCTTCATGATTCATCCTCTTAGATCGTTTTCACTGCACTGATGAATGAGAGGAAAATCATAGGTAGTTGAATCGTGTTCAGACTGAAAATTTCAGGTAGTTCACAAACAATTCATAAAGCTACGTGATGTCAAATCTGGAATATTGGTTTGACCTCCAACATATACATACACACAGTCACACACACATATATGTATATATCTATATATATATATATATCTCTCTCTCTCTCTTTATATATATATATATATATATATATAGAATATTGGGCATGAATCCAAGTTGAATGAACCATTAGAACTTTGCTCTATCCAAATGAACAGCCCTCTGTGTTTGAATACATTAATGGCGGAAAGCTCAGTTTGTCTGCATGCAGTAACCTAAGTTCTTCAACCATTAAGAAAATGGCGATGGCCGGCCAACGTACGTTTCCTTCTGCTTTATATCCCATCTCCCTCTGTTTGTCTTCTCCTTCCCACCTCCATGATTATATTCTTCCTTCTTAAACAATTTCAACTTCATCTTCCCATATATATAAATCCACCTGCAACCCTACTTCAATCGCCAACGTTTATGGGGTCTCGTCTTTTTCCCCTAATCACCATCTTCTTCGCCATGTCTGCACTTTCTGTAACTTCTTCTAAACTCAGTTATCAACTTCATCAAGAAGAAACAACTCAGTTTTTCACTCGGTGTTTAACTCAGTATGGTGTTCATAACTTTACGACTCATTCGAATGGGAACAATGATTCATCGCTTTATAATCATCTTCTTAATTTCTCCATTCAGAATCTTAGATTTTCTGGTTCATCGTTGCCCAAACCAACTGTTATTGTTTTCCCGGAAAATAAAGAACAGTTGGCGAAAACCATCGTCTGTGCCAACAAATCGTCGCTGGAAATCAGAGTCCGGTGCGGCGGTCACAGCTACGAGGGGTCGTCGTCGGTGGCCGTGGAAGGTGGTCCATTTGTGGTGATTGATATGACCCGATTGGACCATGTCTCGGTGGATGTAGACTCGGGTCGTGCTTGGGTTGAAGCTGGTGCGACCCTCGGTCAGACGTATTCCGCCATTGCTGAGGTTAGCCTGGTTCACGGGTTCTCGGCAGGATCGTGCCCGACTGTCGGAACCGGTGGTCACATTTCCGGCGGCGGGTTTGGGTTGTTGTCTCGGAAATACGGCTTGGCAGCGGATAATGTAGTCGACGCGGTTTTAATAACCGCCAAAGGCGAGTTACTGAACCGCGACATGATGGGTGAGGATGTGTTTTGGGCGATACGAGGCGGTGGTGGGGGTGTTTGGGGAGTCGTGTACGCTTGGAACATCCGGTTATCAAGCGTACCGGAAACTGTTACCAGTTTCATCGTGTCGAGACCGGGCACGATGAAACAGGTGAGCGATCTGGTAAACAAATGGCAACACGTTGCGCCTAAACTGAACGACGACTTTTACTTGTCGTCGTTTGTCGGTGCTGGTTTGCCGGAACGGAAGAACAAACCAGCGGGCTTATCCGCCACATTCAAAGGGTTTTATTTAGGACCGAAGAACAAAGCCCTAATCGTCATAAACGATTCTTTCCCCGAGCTAAATATCGTCGAAACCGATTGTAAAGAAACGAGTTGGATCGAATCCGTTCTCTTCTTCTCTGGACTTGGAACCGGAAGCTCGATCTCCGACTTAAAAAACCGATACTTGCAAGATAAACTATACTACAAGGCAAAATCCGACTACATCCGTAAACCAATTCCACGATTCGGCCTAACCATGGCACTCGAAATCCTCGAAAAACAACCGAAAGGGTACGTAATTCTCGACCCGTACGGTGGCGCAATGCAAACAATATCTAGCGACTCCATCCCTTTCCCGCACCGGAAAGGGAACCTTTTCACGATCCAGTATCTCGTCGAATGGAACGAAACCGACGACAACAAAAGCAACGAGTACATAGCGTGGATACGCAGCTTTCATGGCTCGATGACGGCTTACGTCTCACAGAACCCGCGAGCCGCGTACGTTAACTACATGGACCTTGATTTGGGAACGATGAATTGGATCAAAACGAGGGCCGAAGATGATGCGGTCGAGAAGGGTCGCGAATGGGGCGAGAAATACTTCGATACGAACTACGACCGATTGGTGAAGGCGAAAACCGAAATCGATCCGTACAACGTTTTCAGGCATCAACAAAGCATTCCTCCGATGTCTTTGAAGAACAAGAATGAAAGATCAAGCAGAATGAGCGAGTAAGTTTAAGGATTTTATGCATCAAATTTGTGTCTTTTTTTCATGTGTAAATTTGGTGACGTGGACTAACAAAGTTGTAATCAAAGTGCATTTTCATTCCCGTTTGTAAAAATAACTTATTGACTTATTCCAGTGTGACATCGTAGTAAGCACTTTTGAATGTTTGAATAAACAGCTTATATCGATGTCAAACTGGTAATAAGGAGTTTTTGAAGTAGTTAAATCATTCTAACTTATAATAAGTTGTAATTACTTTTGTAGAAAAGAATAAATTGTTTCAAATAAGCAATCCCAAACAACCCCTAATTATTATACTTGTTAAAATATAAAAAACAGATACCGAAACTTACCGCATCAGATCGTATGGTAGAATTGATTTAATAGTTAGTCTAAAATGTAGGAGCATTCTAAAAAATTACTTTATATCAATTGAGTTTATAGAAACAAACAAAAAACTGTCATATCTAACAGGTTTTACAATAGGTTTATAAGATGCTTTTAGGCGTTTTAACAAGTTTTTTAGGACGTTTATAAAATAAAGTATTTTATAATGACATTATTTGAAAAAATGTTCTATAAACACAAGTGTCCTACAAAAATGAGTTTACATAGTGTCTCATAAAATAGTTAATAGAACACTTTATTTTAAAATCATTCTAAAAAACTTGTTAAAACGTCTAAAAACGAATATAATCTCATTGTAACGCTTTTAGATATGATGTTTTATAATTTGATTGGATAAACCTAAGTTCTATAATGTATTCTATCAGACCACTTAAACAATATAAGCGTCCTATAAAACAAATTTTGTTATAATAAAAGTGTTTAACCATCTGATTTTAAAATAATTAATCACTTTTTCATGACAACAATTTAAATCTAATTATTTTTCTCTAAAAAATCATATATAATCCATTTTAACCATAATTTTATTAAATAATATGTAATTTTTCATAAAATATTTAATTATATATTTTTTTGAAAACTATTAATTAAATATTTAATCATGAATTAGTATATTTTTTAAAAATTAATTATTAATTCAATATGTATATACTTAAAATTACTAATAAAATATTTGATTATCTAATTAATATGATTTTAAATGTAAAAAAAATGTTCATTAAACCTAAAATATCTAAGAACTTTGTTTCTTTTACTACTTTTTTGGCGGTAATGATTTTATTATTATTACTAGAAGGATACTTGCATAATGTAGTAAGATATATCTCGATTTTAATGTTTCATTTTATTTTTTGTTTCTGTTGATATTATAATACGAATTTACATGGTTTTGAGCAAGCAATAATGTTTTTCTTCATAAAATATAAATTCGAATATATCATAAAAAATTTAAAAAATATATAAAAGTTTTTAATTATTTGTGTAATTTCTTTAATTCAATTTTTTATTGTATTTTAATTTAGGTTTAATTACGAAGTAATTTGTTTTTGATTTAATTTTTTTTATAAAGATAATAACTAAATATTCTAATTATATTTTAGATTATATATTTAAAATAAAATATCATGTATTTGATTATATTTATCTACAGTTAGTTACATGAATTCGAACATGAAGCTTAATAAGTTGTACTTACGTATAATTTACTTGTAATCTTAAATTTTAAGTAATATGCATCAATAAACAGTACTTCATATATAAAAGATAGATTTTAAGAGTTTTTGTCAAATGTTTTATAATATAGTATAGATTATGATAAATTATAATCTATTAAAATTTTAATATATGTTTTTAATCAATTTTAGTTTATAAATTAGTTTTATCAAAAATGATTAGAATATCTGTTAATTTTTACTCTAACAATTTTTAACCATCAACTAAGGGGCCGTTTATCTAAATACTTACTCGGTAAGTACTTTACCTGCTAAATTTAACGTTATTATTTACCTTACCGGATAAGATTTTAGTCTACTAAAACGAGATTGTATGGAAAAGTTTACCTGGGCAAGCGTTAACAGGGTAAGAGCCGTCGTCCGCACTTACCAGGTAAGACTCTCGGTTATTGCCTTCATCTTACCCGGTAAGATTCTTGGTTCTTGTCATATTCATTGGTTAAAGCTATATAACTTGGTAAGTACTATCTGAATAAACATTTAGTAAATGGCCCATAAGTTACTGATTAGTAGAACAATAACATAGCTTAAATCGACCCAATTGTAGATGATTTTAATAATTTTCATTTAATTTGATATCAATAAAATCACATATTACACAAGTTATTTTATGTTGGGAATTATTTTTGGAATTAATTATTTAATAGCAATTAATTATTTCATTTAAAATTTTTGAGCTTATTTTTAAGACTCGGTGGCGTTTGCTTTGCAGAATGGAGTCGGTCGGAAATGGAGTATGTCAAAACAACTGGAAATATGAAGTAACTGGAATGGAATTTAGCCAGATTTGACCATACGTTTGGTTAGCAGCATTTGAAGTGAAATATATCAAAGAATTTGGATTATGTATGTTTGGTTCTCGAATACGTATTTGTAACTAAATAAAGATGCATGAAAAAATATCCCTTGAGGACGTTTTTCATGTTAGCGTATGCCTAAAAGTCAATCATAGGATGATTGTATGTTTGAACAAGATTGTCATGATATTCATTAATAAAGGTGTTGTCTATTTTTAACCATAAGGGTGGTACCTGACTGATTTGAGCTTGAGCTCCAAAGGTCAAAAATGTCTGGAGGTCTCAGGTTCGAATTCAAGGAGGAATAAAAATCCCCTTTGTGGCCACCAAGGTTCAAATGCGGCGACTCCGGACTACCCGCAAAGTGAGTGGTCGTTCTGGGATTAGTCTGTTCGTATAGCGGGTTGGATATCCAAGTGACAGAAGCATCCAAAAATCCTCGAAACCATTCAGCCAAATACAACCATCGTACAGCATCCAAAAATATGTTGATTCAAATGAAAGAATGCCTACGATAAATCGGCTGAATCTTGCATTTCGGATTCGGAGGGTTGTTTTACAGCGTAAGACTTAAAAACGATTTTACATTTTCCCTATTCTAACCGACATTATTTCTTATTTTCTTGCCCGTCTATCAATTTAACCCGAATCAGACACTACGTTCTACATCGAGAAAATTTACACCAGTTCGGTTTTTTTACAATGCCATCAACAACGCGGCTTTTCTACACTAAATTAAACTGTAAATGTAAGTGTAACTGTAACGGTTGTAATCTTACATGCTCATGGCTTTTGATGAGACGTCTTCGTCGCCTTCCAACAACTGCTCTTCGGCTTCCTACAAAAAATGATCAACCGTGGAGCGGATACTTTTAAGTTCAAGAAGAAATGAATGAACGCTGCATTAGACTGGGAAAGAATAGAGCCTGAGTGGGACAAAAATGCATACTTTTTTTCCGTGACACCAAATAGGTGAAACAAAATCAGGGATGAGACAAGATTGAGAAATTACTGAACTACCCATCTCAAATTAAAATACTAAACCCTTCTACAATTCTTTCATCCGCCTACCTCTCGCTTGTCTACCTGGTCCAATTTAGGGGTGTAAACGAGTCGAGCTTTTAACGAGCTACTCGAGCATACAGTTTTTTCGAGCCAAACATATATATATATATATATATATATATATATATGTTTATAAATTATATAATCAAAATATAAAAATCATCGAGCTTAAGTAAATAAACGAGTTAATCGACCTCGAATTCGAGCTTATAAACGAGCATCGAGCTCATACATTGAAAAAATATTCGAGCCCGACCTTGAAAAAGTTAATCGAGTTTGAGCTCGAGCCTGATATTATTTCTTTGAGCCGAGCTCGAATAACTTGCTACTCGACTCGACTCGACTCGACTTATTTACGCCCCTAGTCCAGCCCACATACCAAACACACCTCTAAGGTCAAACGTAGTACACGATTAGAAAATGGTAAAATGTACCAAAGGGTCATTGACCCAACAGTATCTGAGTTACCGCTTTAAATTCCTCTCAAACGATCCAGATCTCGAATCGAATTTGGCCTTGAATTTGAATCTTGTAAGAAATCCGGGATGGTAATTACGACTATCAACAACAAAAAAAAAAGATGCATCGAGTTCATACCGTTTGTTGTTTACACTTGATCCTTGCAAGATAATCATCTAATGCACCATCCCCGTGAAGAATTTTTCCACCACATCCGGCTTTATCTACCGAGCCAACCGACTCCTCGTCAATCACCACAGCTTCTACTCGATCATCTCCCGTCCTGACATCTGGAATCTGAAAGTCATCATTAACAAAAGCTTAAATTTCGACAGGAACTTTTTATAGCACTCAGTTTTCACGGAATCTAATCTTTGGTATAGAACATGTCGGTACATCCTACCCTAGACCTACTTCCGAGTGGACAGGATGGGACAAGACAAGAGAGTGCAAAAATTTGTTGTCTCGCTTTTGGCGCGACATTAGACTTAGATAGGACCTGAGTGGGACAAAAATGCATTTTTCCTGTCCCACCAAAATAAGTGGAACAAAAATTAGGGAGATGAGACAAGATTGGTAAATTACTAAACTACCCATGTCAAATCAAAACCCTAAAACCTGCCGGAATTCTTTCACCCGCCTATCTCATTCTCGCCTGACTAATCCAATTCCATCCACGAACCAAACACGTGTTTGCTTTGGTTTGATTTTCTTTCATTTGTCAAATAAATAAAGTAGAATCCAAATTAAAAAAATCTTACGAACCCAAATCAATCTATTTGTAATGATGACGATGGGTAAATAGGTAATTTTTCAGCTAAAAGTTCCGGAAAAAGACAGAAATGTTCCAATTTTCACAGGACAATGTCGAAATACCGAGTCGTGTACATAACTAAAAAGCCAACTTACCTCATACATAGAGTCGGTTAGAAGAGTTTCAAGTATGGCTCGTAACCCTCTAGCGCCAGTGTTTTTAACCATAGCTTTTTGAGCAATCAACCTTAGTGCCTTCTCCGAGAAATGTAGTTTCACCTGTGGTCGAGGAAACATTTCCATTAAAAATGAGCACACCAAACGTCAAAACCAATGTAGCCGAACCATAATTGAGAAAAAGAACCGCAAGTATCAAATGCTTACATTGTTCATCTGAAACAACTTCTTGTACTGTTTACCGAGAGCGTTTTTTGGTTCCATGAGGACCTGTGTAAAGTAACGACTATATTTTTAAGTCCTCGTGGGGATGGAGTATTACAAAAAGAAAAAGTAAAACCATCTAGGGTGTGTTTGGAAGATGAGGACAGGACTGACACAACAAACAGATGTTGTTCCATGTTTGGTGTGACATTAGACTGGGAGGGGACATGATTGAGTGGGACAAATATGCATATTTTTTGACATTCGGGAGATGGGACAAGATTGGTAAATTACCAAATTACCCATGTCAAATAAAAACCCCTAAAATCTTCTACAATTCTTTCACATGCTTCACTCTCGTCCGTACAGTCCAGTCCTGCCTGGTCTGTGTACCAATGCATCCTTACTACTCAAAAAGCTAGCCGGGAAAGGCTAAAAGGCGAATGCAAAAGAAGTTATAAAATGGTAAGACCCTATAGAAGGTGAATCCCTAGTGTTCAGAAACATGAATCCATAGTGAATTTAACATGATATCAGAGCCTTAAACCATCCAATTAGGAATACAAAAACTATCATTCCATCCCATTAGAAATAAGTGTTCACTTTCAAAAGAAAGTAAGACCCAATTCTACCCTTAATTGTGAGATGAAGAAATCCATTACTCCCTGTATTATTAAGGGTAAAATAGTCATTTGACAAATTAAAAGGGTAATAATTACAGAAATCTAAAATTGTGTGCCTTTAACATAGTGAACATGTATTTTGGGATGGATAGAGTAAAAGATTGGCTTCCAATACCGACCACTAACCCACTTTGTGGTATACATATTCAGGCAACCAAAAATATCTAGAAATCATATTCCCATGGCTACCCAGGTAAGAAAGAAATGGGAAAAAGAAGCCGAGCTTAGTGAAGTAATACAACTAAGAATGAACTCACCTGAACAAGTTGGTCTTCAGTTAGAGCCGATAAACTAAGTAAAATGGGAAAACGACCTATAAACTCAGGAATGAGTCCATAAGCTATAAGATCACTACTTTCAACCTGAAAAAGGACGGGAAAAAACGATCAATAATTATTGGATAATGATATACAGAATAGACCCCACCCTCATGTGGGGCATGGTATACTGGGCTCGTTTGGTTCATATACAGAATAGAATGGTAACTTTTTGGAAATTCCAAAAAAAAATTAAAGCTTACAGATTCAAGTAAAGATGATGTCACGGCAGCATTAGTCAGTTTGCCGCTTCTCATATTAGCACGAACAGGTGCTCCAAAACCAATCGAAGAGTCCTGTCGTCTGATATAAATATGAGTTTCAGTTTGAATGCTTTAACTTCCCACAATCAAATAATAAGATGGAATCAACTTTCGATAACTTAATTCTGAAAATAATATACAAAAGAAACAATCGGTAATCACCTCTCAGATATGGTTTTTTCCAAATCTACAAATGCTCCACCACAGATGAAAAGGATGTCTTTGGTATCGATCTGCAAGGAAAAGCACCAGCCTCATCTACCACAACTAAGGGGCTGTTTGGTTGGTTTTCCATTAAGTCATGTACGGATAAAGCTGTCTGTGTGGATTAATTTGTCTGTATAGATTGTGAAGGTTTTTGTTTGGGGGTGCTTTTTCATAGATGGAAGGAGCGTGTTTTTTAATTAGGAGGGGCAGGTTTTGGAAAAACTTGGCTTTCTGCATAAAACTCCCCTTTAGAAGCTTACTGAATAAGCCACTTTATGTATCATCAAGCCACTACCAAACAGTCATGTATGGCTGAGCGAGTAAGCTCTGAATCCCATTAAGCTCATTAAGGGGCCGTTTACTAAACGCTTACCCAGTAAGTGCTTACCGGGTAATTTTCTTTGCCGGATGAACATGACAATAGTAAAAAATCTTACCCAATAAGAGCAATGATAAAGATGAAGAGTCTTACTCGGTAAGTGAGGGTGACGACTCTTACCCGGATAAGCGCTTACCAGGTAAATTCTTGCATACGATACCATTTTGATGTACTACAATCTTATCCGGTAGAGTAATTACAGTGTTGACGCCTAATGGTAAGCGCTTACCGGGTAAGCATTTAGGTAAACGGCCCCTAAGCTGCTAACAAACAAACCCGAAGCCATTTGAGCAAACTTGCGGCCTTGATTCTAATCATAGATGTTGAGGTCCATTATGCGTTTGGTACGTGGGACAGGATAGAACAAAAACATGTTGTCTCACGTTTGCTGCGACATTAAACTCAGATACGATATGACCGAGTGCGACAAAATGCATTTTTTTTGTTCCACTAAAATCAGGAAAATGGGACAAGATTGGTAAATTAATAAACCACCCATGTCAGATTAAAATCCTATAGAAAGAACAACAACAATATGATGATATTAATACATAAAATACCTGAATGTTTTCGCCTCGAGGATGCTTCCTGGCTCCTTTTTCAGGCACATTTACTATCTACAGAGAATATAATATTTGCTTTTAGGCAAGACCGCAAGAAAGGTCATGATATATAATATATGTTAGATATTTGATTTTCATAAAGTGGTACCATATTATTGATGCATAGAATTCCATAAGCCATAGTATAATAAGTTAATAACCAAGATGGGAATAATGAATGCCAATAGTTTGGCAAAATGGTTGACTCTCCTACCTTCTACAACCTACGGGTTCCAACTCCCGAGACAAAATGCATTTAGGAAATTAGATAGGAACAAATATCGCTAACTAAAGAAAATTAATAGAAAAAAAGTATGATATAGATATCATCATACACCTAAGCCCGATGGCTGAAGAAAGTGTCAAATGTAATGAATTTGTCCAAATAATTGTAAAAAAACAGTAACAGAAACATGGTTGAAAAATATCCTGCAAAGCCACGTATTATAACACGATAATGTATTGGCTTTTTATGCAAAATGAAACTAAAATGTAACGGAAACAACTCAATGACAAGTTAGAAGTCCTACAACAAATATATACATGCTAAAGTTGATAAATTAATGAAAAATCAGAAGAAATGATGTCATGAGTTTGAAGTTATCCTAATTTCACAAAAAAAATTGGACTCAAGAAACAACATGATTGATTGCAAATTCATCAGGGGTATCATCACTTACTGTTCCTTCCAACATCTTAAGTAGAGCTTGCTGAACACCCTCGCCAGAAACATCCCTGCTAATGTTAACGCTCTCAGCCTGTAAAATGATTTAAACGAAAAATTGTCAGAACTTAAAGTATGTGATTGCATATATAAACGAAAGATCGTGTGAGAATAGGAGTTAAGGTGAGAGTATAAGAAGGGATTTGGACCCTTGATCAACTTTAATCTTGATTCGGGAATTGATCCGGTGCATCTCATTACTGTTGATCTTCAATTAGGATTGATCCAAGGGTGGAGATTCTTTCTTACTTTTCTCACCATAACTTTCATTCTCACCGGAACCAACCCTATATATATATATATATATATATATATATATATATATATATATATATATATATATATATATATATATATGGGGACCTTCTTTGGAGAACTCATGAAATTGTGATAACCTTGAGAAATAGTGCATCATGCGGTATTTCATATGATTTTTTTGACCTAAGACTAGCATTTAGAATATTGATTAACATATATTTGTTTCACAATGTGAACCTTATTAGCATGTTTGTAAAACAAAAGTTTCACATTATGAACCGCATACACATGAAGCAAACACGTTGTGAAACAAATATATGTTCATCAATACATTAAATGCTAGCCTTAGACGAAAAAAAATATGTAAAACAATACCTTAACATAAAAGTTCTTATGGTTATCACAATATGTGGAGCTATATATATAGGGTAGGTTCAAGGAAAACCACAAAAAAATGAAAATTGAGGAACACCCTGGTAAAGTTCATTTAGACGGTATGCACATGTACATACAAGTAATTTGTAAGCAATTTGTGCGGTATGCACATGAGTATAACATACATAAAAACCAAGAAACAACTCAATCACTTGTATGCACATTTCCTCAGTTTTTCATTTTTGTGGAGGTTTTACCCTAAACTTCTCTCTCTCTCTCTCTCTCTCTCTCTCTATATATATATATATATATATATATATAGCCCCTCCCCCTACACACACTAGAGAGAGAAATAAGGAAGGAAACGAACTAAGGAAGGATGAAACATAATTCGGAAAATAAATTGAAGACAAAATCAAAAGACCTTCTTGGTTATCTTATCAACTTCATCGATGTAAACCATCCCTTGTTGTGCTGCTTGAACATTGAATTCGGCAACCTTGATACCACAAACAAACTCAAAATATGCAGCAACAGGAACAAATATACAATAAGAATCAAACATAAAGAAAAAATAGAAGATATACCGTAAGTAGCTTATGTAATATAGATTCAACGTCTTCACCAACATAACCAGCCTGCAGAATATTAACAAATAAACCACTTTTAAGAGCAACATTAAACCAATTCAAAGATTTAGAAGGATGCATTAAAACAACACGATTCCATTTAATTTAGATGTTCCTGCGAAAAGAACAAGACCGCACCTTCCTTAATACATTATTGAGATCATAAATGAAGCTTGGACGGTAGATTATGCGTCCAATTTATAATACAGGAAACAGAGTTAGACATATCGGCTTATTCAATTTATTTCCATAAAAAGCAAGATAGTATATCCGACTTACCTGTGTTAACGTTGTTGCATCAGCAATGACAAAGGGAACATTAACAAAACGAGCAAGGGTCTTTGCAAGTAATGTCTTCCCTGTATTAAAGTTGTATCAAAGTTGTCAGCAATCAAACAGCTGACGAAAAACTCACAAAAGGGTGCATTTGGTACATGGAACACAATAGTACAAAATCTTGTCATCCCACGTTTGCAGTGACATTAGACCGGGACAGAACAGGACCTGAGTGGGACAAAAACAAGGGGGTGTTTGGTTCATGGATTTTGAAGGAATTAGAATGAATAATATGTTTGGTTCACATAATGAAAATGTAGGAATCCTTTGACTTCCATTGAATTCCACAAATTAATGAAATCATTGTTCCTTGGCATAAATCAAGGAATTGAATTCCATCTCTTTGCATCCAATTACACCAACACCACCCACCCCTTGCCCAAACCATGACCATGTTACTACTGTCATTGGCACACCCCCACCCCTAACCACCCAGCACCACATTACTACTGTTGCCTTCACAACTGCCATCCACCCCCACTCCTACCCCAACCCCAACTCACCACTGACCAGCATGCCACTACTATCGTCATCACAGCTGCCATCCTCACCCCGTCACCCACCCCCAGAAATTCCATATCCCATTCCAATTCCTACCAACCAAATGCGTGGTCAAATTCCATTCCAATTCCTTCAAAGTCAAATTTCTTTGATGAATTCCAATTCCACCAAATTCCATTTTGTGATCCAAATGCCCCCATAAGGGAGATTGGACAAGATCGGTAAATTACTAAATTACCCACATCAAATTAAAATCCTAAAACCTTCCAAAATTCTTTCACCTGCCTACCTTACTGTCGCCCGTGCAGTCATGTCCAGTCCAAGTACCAAACGCACCCAAAGTGAACAACCTCGTAATCATACCTGAGCCAGTTGGCCCCATTAGGAGTACATTGCTTTTCTCTAAATCTACATTACCGTCATCATCTTCCAACCTACCTCTTCCTGATTCTACTCCTGACCTAGTGGTCAACACAGAAAATCAGTTCAGCATATGTAATTCAAGGAATAGGATGAATGATTATGCAGGGAGATGTCAAATGACTAACCCTTTCTGCAAAGAAGCATGATGTATCCTTTTGTAATGATTATATACAGCCACAGATAGCACCTGAAAGTAAATTGGAACACCAGTTCAATGAAAAAGAACAGACGACAAAAAATCACTTCCCAATTATCTCAAATCAACCCCATGAATCATATAGATATTGCCATTAGTCCCTATCAAGATATCTTCTATTACACCAAATATTCCATGTCACTTCTCAAATATTTGAACCCATTAGGTTCGTTCTGTTCTTCTGTCTCTATTTTATAATTCTTAAAACCCATCATCATTCCTTGATGGCCCGTAGAAAAATGTGGAAAACAAAAAGGAATTTTTAAGGTAAAGCACCTCCAATATTTGCAAAAATAAGGTCCCCCCCACAAGGAAAAATGGAGAAGATGCAAATTCATCAAGCAATGTAATGGCTAGTAGAAATGAAGTAATGTTTGTGTGAGTTAAAAGTTGCATATTTGGAGAAATCCACATGGACTAAACACCATACTCACATATGCATGGTAAACCAAACAAAACCAACCCAAAATACCCTATACAATCACACCAAAAGGGTTAAAGATGCAACCTTTTTCGCACGATTTTGACCAATGACAAACTTATCAAGTCCCTGGAAAATCTCCTTTGGAGTAGGCAGATTCTTCCCCATATTCGACCCGCCCCACCCGCTGTTCTTCTCTCCACCACCACGTTTCCCATTGTCACCACCATCTGCACGAATTACATTGATCCCTGGCGGAAAAGGAGGACTTCGCGGAGAATGCACAGCGAGTCCAGTTCTAGATGGCGGTGGAGGAGGAAGATTTGTCCAATTCTCCGGCGGGTCACCACCATAAGAACGCAAAGTATCCCAAAATGAAGCCCTAAGCTTGTTTCCATAATCATCTTCATCATTAAAGTGCCTCTTATCCTTACCATTACCATTTTTAAATCTACCGATTTCAACAAACCTACCCTGGAGAGGAGCCATCTTATACGGCCGGAAGTAGAAAGAAGATTTACAGTTGGGGCACAAATTCACCGGCAGGTGACCCCCTTTCCTATCAACATCGGAACCGAGATCGGGAGATGTTTCCAATTCATCTCCGGCAGCGGTGTCGGAGGAAGGTGGCGGAATGAGGTGGCGGTTATCGAAAAAATCGAGATCCATCTGCTTACAACAACGAGGGCAGTTAATTTCAGCCTTAATCCTCCGTGTCATCGACGATGTTCTACGATTATTATCATCACAACCACCACCGCTATGGTCCCACTTACATCGAGTTTGCACACCAATCAGCGACCTTCGACGAATGTACGGACCAGGAACTCCGGCGTTTAACACGCCTTTCATAACCCCACGATTCGATGTGTTCGATGAAGAAAATCTCGTCGCTGCAGTTCTAGCAACTACAACATCTCGAAACTTCCTCCATCTCCATAACCCAGACATCATATTACAAAATTTATCGTCTTTTCTCGAATTTCTTCAACGGGCATGCAATTGAGATCCAATGAATCATCAATTTGTTAAACTAATTGAATCAATAAACGGTTTCAACAACTGGGATCTTTGTATAGTAGCAGACGCAAGTGCTATATAACTTGAGAATCATCTATCTGATCCATAAATTTATCCAAAATAGGATTAATTGTGTGCGTTTCATACATGAAATCCGGAAATTGAGGCAGAAAAAAGGGGTGGATTAAGGAATTAGACAAGAGAGGTGAGCATTCGTGGGTGGAAAGCAAAGGAATCGTGAAGATGGGAACCAACAGGAATTGCTCTCTACTCCTACTGCTCTGTTTCCATTTTCCTTTTTGTTGTTGCATTTTTAGAAGGCCACAAAATGGTCCCTTTACTCTACAATATTTGAAGGTTTGTCCCTAAGAAAACATTTTGTCACAATTAAGTCCTTTCATCCTTAAGCTCCTACCGAACACATAGGTATAGTTGTACGAATCAGCCATACATGTTATACAACTCATTAAGCCGTTACCAAACACGCCCTAACTCTGTTAGCCATGTACATGGCATAAAAGCATATTCAACAGATTCTCTATAAAAATGAATCAAAAGTCAAAAATTTCAAAGAAAAGTTACATTCACCTCCAACAGTTTCTTCATTTTGAATATTACAATATTAATTAGGGCAAAGTGCATAAAATAGCAATCTACTTTTATAAATTTCTTTATTATAGCATTGTACTTTCAGTTTTTTTTATTACAGCAATGTACTTTCAAATTATTTTTTATTAGGACATTGTACTTTGAAAAATTTACCCATTATAGCATTGGGTAACCTTTTGATTTAAATTTACCCATTATACTAGGTTTCCATGCCATCTCATTGTCCACGTAGGCTGTCCACATGTACTATAGTGATGTGACTTTCTT